ATTGGTTTGTGGCTTATCAGCAGTCGGGACACGCGATCTTCATCAGCGCGCCAGTCCGCGAACGACCAGGAAACTCGCGACGCACGCCCGCGTGTCCCCATACGCCAGCGCCAGTCCGAGTTGGCTTAAGAGACCCGCAACGGACGCGCCTGACGTCACCGCGTGCCACCTGCGTCTGTCGGTTTGTCCGCGCGTCCCAACCCGACGCGCGCCAGCGCCTAACCACCCGTCTGCGTGAGATAACCTGCGCCAGATCCGTCAGCCCATCAGATTCTGGTATTTAGACGATCTCTATCAAAGTAAATCAGAAACGTCTCAGAGTCGACAAAAATTTTAAATGGTAATGTCGTAACCCTAACCATAGATTCTGCTGCGTTAGGGTTTATTTTGCCTAATTCAAACGTGCATGTTGTTGACATTCCTAACAGAACCCAACACGTCCGTACTGGCCGAACTACCTAATTCCGTTAGGTCGTGGCCCTATCAGTTATTCTTATCTTAATAATATTCTTTCTTATCCATTTGTCTGCCATATTAGGCAATTAATAATGCAACCGACCTAAGTCACCTCAAGATGGAGTGCAACATGTGTTATGCTCATATACTCCGCTCTTCTGGTCGACCAGTCGACCAGCGTTGCCTTCAGGTCGAGTTTCAACTAGACAATTTTGAGCCTACAATGTCCTTCAGGACTTCTTGATCTATTGCTCCGTCCGACATGCTTGTAGTTCTGCTCGACTAATCGGTTTGCCAAACTCAGTTGGTTGGTATATCTGGCATATTTGATATGATATAGTATCTCATATCAATTCTTATCTGAATAATATTCCTTTTTATCTATTAGTCTATCTGTTTAGACAATCTAATTGTGCGACCGACCCATATCACCTCGAGGTGAGGTGTTGCCTAGGCTTCACTTGGCTCGGAGTGCTGCTATCAGTGGTTAGATTACTTGTTTCTACTCCAAACTCATTTTGCTCCTGTATATGATATTGAAGCTAAGGATTTATGTAAGATCTTACTGCCTTCTAGCTCTTATTTCAATTGCTTTGTATAATTAATCTTGTTTCCATGCCACCCGAATGTGGACCTCACATGTATTTTATTAAGTTTTTGGTAGTTCTTTTGGATCAATTTCTCTCACTATATCAAAATCCTGCTTCTCTATTGTTTTGAAAAATGAAATAAAATCAAATAGTACCGTATGCCTTTCATGTGACTAGTCTAACTAACGGGCGATTCTACGGTTCCGTTACGGAACCAATTCGTCGGGGTTTGTAACCGTCAGGTCGACTATCCATAACGGTTGCATGATGATCTAACGGTTACAAATCCCAACGGAATGGTTTTGTAACGGGACTGTCGCATTTCTCCTAACTTTATGTAAGAACTTTTGATCAAATCTATTATTTTTTATGTAACTACTGTTTTTTTTTTCAAAACCATAGAGATATTATATAAAACCGAACAAATATACAATAGAGCAGTCACGAACTGAATACAACCAACTAACAG